ATGAACATTTCTTTTTTAATTTAGAAAGAATATGTAATGAAGATAATGTCAAGGTTGGAGGCAATGGTTCCTTCGTCATCAAAGTCAAACCCTCCCTATTCTGGTCTAAACACCTCGAATCCAGGTAAGACATCATTTTGAAAAACTAATTTATAGAGTTTTGCATTATGCATAAGAAAAGATTTAGGCTTTTATTTTTTCTACAGGGAAATGATTTTAGCACTCCTGATATCACCTCCCACACTCCTTTACTCTCTCTCACAAGAGGAGTGCATGAGGGTATTTTAGGGTGATTTTGGAGTGCCAAAATCATGACCCTTTCTTAAATCTGGAACAGTGTCAAAATATTACGCAATTTTAGCTTATTCTGTTGTTTTATATATCTTTCTTGGATACATAACATATGGTATTATATATTCCCTAGCTAAATTCTATTTGATATTTTTGTTATTTGTTTTTCAATCATGAAACAGAAAATTATTATTAGGTTTTTTTTTTGGGGGAAAAAACTGGGAACTGTTTTTTTATATCTTTTGGTGGCTACAAATTCAAATACTGGTATCACTGGGTTGAAGAGTAATATTGGTGTATATTTCTTATGTACTTCACCTATATTCCAATTACGTCATCTTGCTATTTCGATCTTTATTTTTCAATAACATCTTATGGCACTCCATCCCCAAGGTGGTAATCAAGGCCAATCAATTGCTGTTCAATCCAGAGATCAGTCTCAAGCACGGGAACAACATTCATTGCCTAATGTTCCAAATACCATTGCATCTGGTGGATTTTCTTCTAACTTAGCATCTGCACGGTCGACTGTCAGTGTTTCAGCTCGGGTTCCCTTGCCAAACAGTGCTACTGAAAATGCCAACTCGCAGAAGTCGGTAGGAAATTTATCAGGGCAAGGGGCACCTATCAATGTTTCTGCCAATAATGTGAGACAGGCGCAAGGGAGACAACATTTACCCCACATTGGTACTCAGCAGAACCATGAGCAACTAAATCATCATCTTGGTATTCAGGTCAAGCAGGAAAACATCTCACCATCATGTATAGCCCAGCAAAAACAACTACAGCAGTACCAGCAGCAGCAGCAGCAGAAACTCTTAAAACCTGCTCAGAAACAGACATCTCAACAATCTGTCATGCAAACTCCTGCCATACGGCCTTCTGAGACACATGTTGCTCCACTTTCTGATCTTCGGCAGGATCAGATGTCTTCTTTCGAGCAGACAACACGCTCTGTGATTAAGAATCATCCTCACACAGCATCTAGGCAAATACACCAATCACAGGAGACTCCTGATATTCATCAAAATGTATCATCAAGACCAGATAATCTAGCAATGCAATCACCAAAGCAATCACATTTGATAGGTACTCCTGGCTTGCAGCAGCAACAGACTAGGTTACCAGGCCAACCAAATAATGTACAACAATGGTTTCAGGTACAAAAAATGAATCTTTCAAGTGCACATCATGAACAATTGGCAGAAAGAAACAATATTTCTGTACCGCAACAAAGCTCGCAGCTGCTTGGAACACAATGTGCTAGCTCAGGCATGCTCCAAAGCAATTTTAAAATGCAGGAGGAAACCCAACACACTGCTTCGGCTCTTCTGCCAAATCAAGGTCAACGGTCACAACCACAGTCTCTCGAGAGGCAACTGAACTCTCAATCACAGCCAGATAAGATGCGACTGCTGCCAAATCCAACAGAACAAGATCAGCAGCAAACATATCAAACATCAGGTAAAACTGTAAAACCAAATCATGTAATTTGGCAGAAAAAATAGATTTGTTAGATAAAAAAAAATAAGTAGAAACACCTTCCTAGATACATTATTGTTATATTGTTGAGTTTCTAATTTTTACGGATGTGTGGGTAACCTCTAAATTGTTGCTGGCTAGTCCTAAATTCAACCCAAAGGCAAATGTCATAAATGTTGAAAAGCCTGACTGCCTTTTTTCTCATCATTCTGTTGGTTGGTTTTATTATCTATTGATTGACATGACTTTCTCTTCATTATCAAGCCTGGTTGCCTCTTTCCTCTTGCAGCTTATTTGGATTCTCATATCTTTTAGCAGTGAAATTAAATTTTTCTCTGATTGATGATTAGTTATATTATAAGTCATCACACCCTAGCTTCTGGGTAATCATAGTTGTTGCAATACTTTTGTGAAACTTTTGACTCCTCCATTAACAAACTGCAAAATCTCTACGACAATATTAGCTAGCTTCTAGGAATAAATATCTGCAGTAAAGATATGTTATACATATATATACCTTTTTTAAACTGGAAGCCATTGCCATTTTCTGGAATTATGTAGAAGTTGGATTTTCACCTTGATTATTAGTTTGTACCAAAAGAGGCTCACTTCTTAGGGCATCTATTCATCTCTGCCAGAATGAATTTTTAATTGAAAAAAAAATTGTAGAATTAAATACAACCCTCACTTCTATTTGCACAGTCATCCTATCAAATCTACTTTCAATTGACTTGTGCTTGCATATTTTTATAATTTTACAGGAACAGTAACGTCCACATCTGAGAAAAGGATTTCATTTGTAGACAACTGGCAAGAGGATATCTATAGGAAGGTACTCTTTCTCTGTCTTTGTCTATGTCTCTCTCTCTCTCTCATTTGATTGCTTATGTTTTATTCTTAACCTTTTTTTATGCGAATTTATGCTGACTGTCTATTACTCTATTCTAATGTTATTTGGGCACTGTTGTGCTGCTGCAAGTTGTAAGAATAGTTAATTACTTAATATGAAATATTAGTCGGAGAGGATTTGTTAGTCTAAGCCAAGTTCCTGCATTTTATTACTATATTAGCTTGTACTTTGTTTATGTTTGTATTTTATTTAAATATCTTGAGTCAGGTCTCTAATTGTTTGATATAGGCCACAATTGTGGGCTATGCATCTTATTTTAATAGTAGTCCACTTTAGCTTAAGCACTGGACTTAATTGATTGACTGAGAGATTTATTTATTTACCCCCTTTTTTTTTTTTTGCAAACCTCTGTAGGGATAATTTATTAAAAGAAAGAGAAAAGAACAAAGAGGGAGGAAATAGACTTCATATTGTAGTTAAAAAATGAGGACTGATTATCCTAGATAAGACAGTAATACACAAGCAATAATAAAGTCGTGTCAAATTATGACAAACTCCGTGATTAAAGTTATAATGAACTACACCATTAAATGCAATTAGAGTTTAGGTTGGAAAAATAATTATTCTTGGATGTTAAATTTGCATCCAATCACTGTGTGGCTTGATGCATAATTCTAGTGGAGGCATAAGCATCCTCTTACACATGGAAAAGTTAGCTGAACTCAAACATAAATGATTTAAGTTGTTGAACTTTAGTATAACTAACTGGTTTCATTTTGGTGAATTGGAAAGTGGGGTTTTATGCATTTCATTTAAACTGTTCCTTGGTCGAATTGGAACATTTTTAGTCTGACATTTTCAATTCATTACTAAACTATTTTTGAGTAACCAACTTGTTATGACTCACAATTGTGCAGAAACCGAAAATATCAGTTTTATGCTCTTGGCTTTCCACCTAAATTCTTTTCTTCGTGAAATAGGGTTTATTTTGCCCTGCATGAAATAAATGGAGGCTATCTACTTTTTCTTTATGAATACACTTCCTTGTTGGTGGTGGAGAGAAGCCGTAGGTTCTATGGAGATATAGTTTGTTAGCAATTATTTGGTCGATAGTGGAAAGAAAATAACAGGAATTTTGAGTAGTCGGAGGGGCATCACTTTTGGGGTTCAATTTCCCCTGCAACCTGTGACAGCCCCTTTTTTTCTCTTTGAACATGGATTGGGTAGCTGCTGTTTCCTCATCTGACTGTAGATTGAGAGCTGTTTTGTTTCATTCTTGTTTTTCTTTTCTTTTTTTTTCATTTCATCTTTTCTTGTTTGGTGCCCTGCATTTGTAGGCAGAAGCTAGGATCTTTTGCAGACTGCTGGTCCACTTGGGTTGTGTTCTACACTCATTAGTATACATTACATATTTCCTATCGGGAAAAATATTAATAGCCAAATTTCAGCCTTCTTTCTTACACAACTATTGACTTATTTATCTGATTGTTATTTTTCTAGATCATTTGGCATATGCAAAATCTTCTCATCCTGATAATGTGTGTGTGTGTGTGTGTGTGTGTGTGTGTGTGTGTGTGTGTTTTTGTGTTGTCATAATTTTTGTGTGCAGATAAAATTACTGTCTTCCTATGGTTGCATAGGGAAATTTTATTTAAGAATTATATCTGTAGCTGAATACTTTTTAAAAAATGTTATTTTGCAGGTTGAAAGTTTAAAAAGCAAGTTTTTAACACCTCTTAGTGATATGCTTCGAAAAGTGACATATACAATCCAGCAGGTAAGTTACTGCTTCACTTCTTCAAGTTTTCTACCTTATCTATCCAACACAAGAACAAATGCTTTTTCAGCTTATATTTTAAAATTTATACATGACTAATTTCTATTATTGTTTTTAAAAATCTCTGAATTTTCTCCAGTTCAATTCCGTCTCTCAACAGACAGAAAGAGTCAGTATTGAGAGATATAAAGCATTGAAGAATAGGTTGACGGAGATCATTTTGCATCTAAATGTGCCCAAAAGCAAAATTACACCTTCTTACAAGGAGAATCTGGGTTCAATGGAGAGGCAAATACTGCTTATTCTTCACACATATGGAAGGGCAAAGCCTGTTCCCTCACTGCAGCATGGACAACTTCCTTCTGATGTGCACTCTACGCGTCAAATGGTGCAACTTCATTCTCAAACTCCTCAAATTCGTACACATCAAGACGAAAGGAAGCTACCATTGCAGTCAGTGAACTTGCAGTGTTCTGCAACAGGCAATGCGACAAACTTGGTGAACAGTTCTAGGTCTCCAGCAGAGCATCCAACCCTGAAACACAACATGGTGCATTTGAGAAAGAATTTGACTGAGCAATATTCAGGACAAGCAAATTCGTTGACTGCAGTGCAGCAGGTTGCCTCAGGATCCTCAAAAATCCCTTCAGGCAGTCCTCAAAAACCTAAGGTTCAGACCTCGTCACAAATACCCATACATGAAACCCAGTCTAATTTAAATGCTCTTGATTCTAGCTGTAGTACACTTAAAGATATGCACCTCAAATTACCTAAAGAAGAGCCGGCTGTACAGACTCAAAACCCAAAGCAAGAACTTCGAAGGCACATGATCACGGAGCAACTGGTGCAACAACAGAAAATAGTGCACCAGCATCATGAGCTGGTAAAGCTGCAGTCTGGAGCTTCATTTCCTCCTGCTGTGCCCAAAATTCTTGGTTCTTCCTGTCAAGAAATTTCTCAGTACTCTTCTCAGATTGACAAGAAAAATCTGCTGATACCCCTTACAAAAGCTAGAACGACTTTGTATCCCGCAAACTCCCCCTCTATTAAAATTTCTTCTTTGGTTCCCTTGGCTGCATCATCTAGGACAGGAGATTCTGAGAAACCTATTTCTGATACTTCATCCCTTTCAAATGCTGGGAGTACTGGAGATCCACAAGTCAATGTTGCACAATCTCCATCGCCCTTTGTCATCAGCACTCCTGGGATGTCTGCGTCACCCTTGCTTGAAGAGTACACTAATGGCATTCACCATAACACTTCAACAATAATTTCTGATGAGTTGACTGCTTCTGAGCAGCCTATTCAGCGCTTAACTAAAGTGGTTAGTTTGATTTGTTGCAACTTCCTCTTTGATTGTTCTAGAAAGTTTTGGACTTACCGCTTAACATCGAAAATTATTATCCTTGTCCCATTGCAGGTGAACTTGATGTCATCTAAAACACTAAGTGCTGCTGTTTTGGATATTGGTTCCATACTGTGTACAACTGATAGAATATTAGGACCAGAAACCGATGGGAGATCTATAGGTTCGTTTGGTAAAGATTTTGCGGAAGTGACCAATTCTCATTTGCTAAAGAGGTATTTGACCTGGCAAGATAACACCTTTCAAACAAGGAAACTTAAACGCTGCAGAAGTACAGTGCCAATGCATGTTGTTGATAGCTTACCGGAGTTTAGTGATAAGGAGAAATTTGACTTGGATTCAACTGCAATATCTTACATCAGAAGGCCTAGGATTGAGGTATGTTGCTGGTTTGATAGGATCTTTTAATTTCTTATAGCTAATAATTATATCTAATGATAGCACTCTCTCATGGATGCTGCCTGCAACAGAGCATCAGTGCAGTTGAGAAACTACCATCACTGTGATCCTTTTGGTTTTAATGGTTTGCTCATTTTTCTTGCCATTACCATCTGATATAAAAAGAAAGTGCTCTATCTCTTGTCTGCTACACAATGACCCAAATACTATCTGTCTTCCAGTTTCTTTCTTTCATTTGTAACAACTGCCTGGTATGAAAGGGACTCTTAAGTCATATCTCACATTTCTGTTTGCATTGAGAGGATCTTTCTGAAACGTATTTCAGCATTCATTCATTGGTTTATTATAGTAACCCGTAGCTTAACCTACATAATTTCATAAAAAGATTAGATAGACCGTATTTTGTCTATTCTATGAATTTGTGGAATTACTGTAGGTTATCTGAAAGAGTAATTAATTTGTGGTTACTTTCCCATGAAAATGATGTCAGCATCATTTGCAGAGTTTTAATGACTTTGTGATTGATTTATTATAATACTAGAATTAATTAATTAGTTTTTCCCTAGAACATCTATCTAATAGGTAATAAGTTATGCATATAAAGAACATATTAGGGAAGTCTCAATTCCAGAATTAATAGAAGAGAAGAAAATGAGACAATCTGTAGGCAATCTGATGTGCATGGGATTTGGAGTCGGTATCTAAAGCTCAATTGCATATCTTCCACCTTGATAAAAACCAGGAGGACATTATCATTTTAAAACTTTGCTTTTAATATCACAATACATGAATTATGTTTTGCTCAAGAAAATAGTTTGCTGTTTAGTTGACAAAGGAATTTCATGTTTATTTCAAGTTCAGAAATTCCCTTGTTTAGGGATCCCGTTCTCTACATTTATGAACCATTTTCTGTAATTTTTTATAAAATCTAGATTCTAACATTGTTCTGTTACCCGTGTTTGTTTGAAATGTATATTAGATATTTTTTAAAAAAATATTTTGTAAAATATCTATGTCAGTTCTCCTCATTATTGTTATAATATCCCTATATTCAAGCCAGGAAAGCTGTATAATATTTCCTTTAGGCAGAGAAAGTCAATTATTGTTCCTGATTCTAATTATTTGATGTTGTCTTTGTGTTGTACTGTGGTATCCCTTTCTGGTAAGCTTTTGTACATCTCTTAAAGTAAGACCCCATAGGGTTGAATTGGAATTAAAAAAATAGATATATATATATATATATATATTATATTTTATACACATATGAAACTTAGCTGCCTTCTCAAAACTTTGGGTCATAGTATTTCTCCATGTCCTTACTGTTATCATTAATGCATCACATGTTGCAGGTGAATCAAACCCTCTTAGAAGAAATTACAGTAATCAACCGCCAACTAATAGACACAGTACTGGATATCAGTGATGAAGACACCCCTCCAATAGTAGCCTCAGCCCCAATTAAAGTTGGTGAAGGAACCATCGTCAGGTGCTCCTTCATTGCTGTGGCCATCAGTCCAAGTCTGAAGTCAGAGCAGGTTTCAGCATATTGTTTTACACATTAGTCCAAATGTGATCAGAAACCACATGGCTACTTTTCGATTCCCGTATTAACTTTGTGTTCAATGTCTATGTAGCTTCCAATCCAGCCTTTACGATTGCTTGTTCCTGCAAATTATCCGTTGTGCTCCCCCATATTTCTAGACAAGTTGAGAGTGGACATCAGGTGAGACAATGAGCCTATACTTTTGTCTTTATTTGCTGTTTGTTTTATACATCGTGCTACAACCTGAAGCAACTGTCATCTTTCTTCCCTTTCCCAAAAAAATTATGTTTTTTCTTTTCACCAAGCACAACAACTAGCTGGCACAACACTTGTCACACTGCCTTCCTCACACATCTTCATAATCAGCCTTGCACAAGATGCACCACTGGAGGGACAGCCACATAAGAGGTCTCCTCCTTTGGAATCCTTCCATGTTCGACTGCCACCAACCATGCCAAATCTGCACATCTGGAGGCGTTTTGGCTATATTACTGCAGCAATATTTAAAATATGAACTGACAGAAAATGTGCCTGACTTACCTAGGAGTGACTTCCTTACATCCTCTCTACTAATGTAAAGTCCCAACCCTTTCAATGCTTTCAAAAAACCTGCCCGTTCCCCAGCTTCCTCATCCTTTAGATTCTTTCTAAAGCCAAAATCCCAGCAGACAGGAAAGTTGTTATTCATTGCTGTACTTACAACTGCTACATTAAGGCTACAGGATAGATATAGAGCTGAGGGAATTCCCTATTAAAAGGTCTTCCCCCTCCCAAACATCTTTGCCGAAATCCTATTCTCTCCTCATTTCTTACCAAGCTCACAATTTTTGATGAAATCCTCATAGCCAAGACTAATCTCTTTCCAAGCGCACCTACTAATTTCCCTCACCAATGTTTGGCATCCCACACATTTTTCGGCAACCAATACCTGCTTCTTAATTCTTATCACCACATGCCACAATGCCTCCATCATCAATATGCAATTACATTTTCCATGAATCAGATTACTTTCTTCTTGATACATAATGATGATGGAAATCATGACAAAGAGTGAACTCACTCTTGAAAATACGGCAGTGAAACTTCTCTTTTTTTTTTTCTTTTTTTTTTTTTTTGACAAAAAGTTCCTTAAGTTGTCGCTATAAACTTATAGTGGTTATTTGTCTCTGTAGAGAGGAGTGCTCTTATTAATTTAGGCCTTGGGCTTTTAAATGATTGTCCGAGATTTTCACTGTTTTTGTGCCACATGGTCAATTATGAAGATTTATGCCAGATTTTATAAAATCGTATTATCAACTTAATTCATTGGCATGCTTTTCATCTGACCACCCTTGCAAATGATGATTAATTACCAGTATAGTTACTATTTGTCCTCTTGGCCTAATGAACTTGTACCCCTTGTTGCTCTGGCAGTGATGAGCTAGAAGATCTTTCAGCAAAGGTGAAGTCAAAACTCAATATCTCTCTCCGGAGCTTGACGGAACCTTTGTCCCTTGGGGAGATAGCAAGGACATGGGATGTTTGCGCCCGAGCGGCTATCTCTGAATATGCACAGCAGCTTGGGGGAGGAAGCTTCAGTTCTAAGTGTGGAATGTGGGAAGACTGTCTTAGTGCTGCTTGAATCATTTTTGCATGTACAGTGCCTGCCTGTTCAGAAGTTCCTCTTAATAAGCAGCATGCTCTGTGGAAGATACAGTCATGTGGTATATAGTCTGCTGATTGTATAGATTTGGATGACAATTGGACCCTTTGAAAACAAAATTTTTGTTTGATGTACAAAAGTTTTGGATATTAAGAGCTTGTGTAGTAATTTTCTTTCTTTTGGTTCTGATGTGTTTTCCTTCTTTCTCTTTAATTAAAACAAATGGGGGAAAAAAAAGCAACAAAAAAATTCTTACAAAATATGAACCAGATCCCCTACAAGGCTATAACTTATATAAGTGTTGCTGAATATATCGCATTTTACATGTTTGGCCATCGAAAATAAATCTGCGATAAGGAAGGACTGCCCCTGCATATTTAAATGTTTAATTTAGGTCCAATTATAGTCTAAAATATCGATAATATGAACGGAATATCGAGAATATTATTATTTTTTCGGGTTAAGGATATTTTGGAACAGATCCGTACACCCCATAAGGTTTCAATTTGTTTTCACAAAAACCCTTTTCGTTGATTGTTTGTCTAAAAATTGATGATTTCATTGAAAAAAAATATATATGCAAATGACAAAATTAACCTCAATGAAGTATATGCAATCTAATCTCAAAAGCCAACTTTGTCATTTGGCGAATTTCTAAAACCTCAACTAGGGTCATTAAAGCTCAATTTTTGCCCTTTTTGGATTCAGCTTCATGATTTACCTATTGACTGTCGAGGAGAGATGACGGTGGCACTCATAGGCAGCTGCTTTAGGGAGGTCTCGAAGATCTATTTGGGGAAAGAACAAAATGGCTTTGTTCGTCAACATCAGGGTGAGGGTGGTAGTGGATATTAGTAAACCATTGGCAAGAGGAGTGATGATCAATAGTGGGGGAGCTAAACACTGGATTCGTTTTAAATATGACCGTTTACCAGTCTTTTGTGCAAGATGCGGGTTGCTGGGACATGAAGCGAGGAGTTGTTTGACCAAAATTTTTGGATGTGGAATCCAATATAGCAATGATTTGCGGCTGTCATTGTATCTAAAAGGGACACTAACGGTGTACCAGAGAGCTCTTCAAATTTTTCTTATGGCTCTTGGGGAAGTGGTGGGCTCAAATTCACTCAATGCGGTGATGGTGGTGGGCGAGTACCGGTGGAAGAACGGCGTGCTGGTAAAGAAGCATTAAATGGTGACCGTTATGGTAAGGGTAAAGTTTCTCATATGACTGTAAATGAGAATGATCTGGGGGAGGGTACTAGGGATGTTGACATTAATGGGGCATTTCTCAAGGAGCCAGGAAAAAAAAGTGACGGTTTGAAGATAATTATCAAAGGAAAGAGAATTAATGTGGCACAATTAGGACATTCAAGTCATGGTTTGAATACCATTTAAAATAATTCTTGGACAAATTCAAAGGTGCCATTTGAGCATACTTCCCATGAGAATTTTAGTGGGTCATCAAGAAATATTGGGCCAGAAGGCAAAGTGGGCCAAAGCAGTCAACTTGTCCATGGCGGGCTAAGGGAAGAGGTTGCTACCCAACCTAAGGCCCTGAGGATCCAAGTTTGGTAAATTTTTCTTATGGTGCCACTGAAAAGGAATTGGGTAAGCGAAAGTGGAAGACAGGAGTGAGAGGAGTGCAGTTATCTACTGCGCGCCAACCTCACCAACCTTTGGCTCAAGAAGAAACTCTACAAACCTTGTTTTCTGGGGTTTCAGGGCGGAAAAGAGTAATACGGAAGACGATGGAGACTTTGGAGGTTGAAGGGAGGAAGAGGAGGAAATCTGCAACTTTAATCAAGGAAGGAGAAAAGGCTACAATACCAGTGATGGGGTCAGCAATACTACCCTGTCACTCATCATGAATATTTTCGCTTAGAATGTACGTGGGCTTGGGAACCCTAGTACGTTCCATGACTTGAGGTTCCTCCTCAAATTAATAGGGTCAGCTTAGTTTTCTTGTCAGAAACTAAATTATCAATAGATGGAGCAGTTTAAGTTACAGTTGGGGTTTCATGAGAATGTAGTTGTGGGACGTAAAGGTTTGAGTGGTGGCTTATTGCTATGGAAAGAGGGTTGGAGTGTGTCAGTTAATTCAGTTTCAACTGCATATATTGATGTATTTGCTACTAATCCTAACGGATTCTCCTTTCGATTTATCGGGTTTTATGGTCATTCAGAACCAAGCCAAAGACATCATTCATGGGAACTTCTTTGCAGGCTTTCTCATAGAAATTCAAGGCCTTGGATTTGCATGGGAGATTTTAACGAAGTGATGCACGAATGGGAGAAGTCAGGAGGACGAGATCGAAGTAGAATGGCAATGGATGCGTTCAAAGATGTGGTTAACAAGTCTTGATAGAGCTTTGGTTATAGATGATGTACTTTTGGAGTTTTTTCCTCAAGCAAAGGTTGTTAACTTAATCTCTGACTTTTCATATCATTATCCAATCTCTCTGGAGTTAGGTCCCAATGAAAGCAGATTTTCTTGTACTAGGAAGGGAAGGCATAGATTTCATTTTGAAGAATTTTGGGCCTCACTTTTACATAAGATTGAATTATGTGGACAACAACTGCTATCTTGTAATGAGATATGTTACTGTATGGAAGAGGGGCCTAGTTGGCTTCACTCTTACTTTCAGAATGATTTGCGCTCTTTACATTCTATTGATGAATAAAGTCAATTGGCCTTTGGCCTTTAATCCAAAAAAGAAAGAAAGAATGAACTCTATGTGATATTAAGTGACTTACGTATCTTACCATGTAATGTATAAAGTGTAAAATATTGTAGTGAATCATTATAAATAAATCATTATGGTGTGTTTAATTTTATTTCATTAATCACTACATATTTTCTACACTCGTAGTGTTTGTCAGCTCGCTATATAATCAACTTAAATCAGTTAAACTCATCATGCAATGTATTTCCTTCCTTTTTAAAAAAAAAATATTTATGATAACGTAATAGATAATTAACTAAATAAACATCATCCCAAGTTTCAAGAAAAATTTTCAAGTTTGTCTTACAAATTCCGTGGTTTTTATTCAATTTTTATTAATATCGATAATATCCCGATATTTCCATAGAAATTTCAATATTTTTAGACTACCGATATTTTCGAAACCACATATATTTTAGACCTTGAGTCCAATTACAATTTTGGGTCCGCAAAATGGTCTAGTTTGGAAGTCCCCCAAAAGTTATCATTCAACATTACACTACCAGTTGCGTTCAACATTTAAATGTTGGTTTTCTTTTTGAGTAATGCTATTTAGACACACAACATTGACCATCTTAACTGACAACCTTATGTGGCAACTGATGTGTCATGCCATGTCAATTAATGAATATTGCCATGATGTCACTCATTAGGAATGCTAGGGTTTTTTAATTTGTTTTTTAATTGACATGGTATGACACATCAGTTGCCACATAAGGTGGTCAATTAAAGTGGTTAATGTTGTGTGTCTAAATAGCATTTCTCATAAAGTAATTGAATGGGCCGAGTAGAATAGGAAACAAAGGCGTCCTTTTTGGTGTGAGTGTGCTCAGCGTGTCAATATCATGGTCAGAAATGGTCATTAAAGGAAACCCAAATGTTAAAAGACATCATTTGAAAAAGAAAATAGTTGACAAGATGATTTTTCATTATTATAATTAAGACATAGAATTTGAATTTAAGTATTAAAACTAACATGTTGAAGAGTTTTTGAAGTCCACTCATATTCCCTTCTTCCTAGTTTGGCTTAGCCCCAAATGGAAAACACAAATCCTGCCACTTATTACAAGGAATGTTACGGTAGATATTACAAGGACTTTGAATTGGTATGCAAATAATATCAACCAAATATCAAACACTTGCAGACATGATTTTTACAACACAGAGATTAATGCATACACAGTGAAAACTAGTTGTTACTTGAGTAACGTAGTATCAAAAACAGATATTATTTCCTAAATTGTATTAAAATATTCATTATTGTAAACCTGGAATTAATATGTATGTACATCAACTTAATTTTGCCATCCAACTCTGAAGTACAAGTGTATGATGGAGGCATTCTTTGAGGATAAACTTTCTCATTTAGGGTTAGAATTTTTTAAAATTAAGTCTATTAAATCCTGAATTTTTTTTTAATTTTAAAAAATACATCCTTTTTTTTTTTTTATATATATAGAATAAGCGACAATTTTTATTGAAAATCCATGTTTGCTTAAAGAAAGTAGTCGATTATCGGTTGTTAGAAAATGGAAGAATACGCTATAGAATTAATCTAAGATTTTTTTCTTCTAAACTCTAGCATGGGACGTAAACCGTATTACCATAGTACCATGGGTATAAAAAGAGTTGACTTTTTATATGGGGTGGCAATCAGTGCATCGAGTTTTAAAGGAGCTTATACTAGATTTTTAAGGGATTGAGACCAAACCAGAGGGACTAACGTGGGCGTGAGAGTGCTTGATGATCATATCGAGCGTGGGGTTGACGTAGAAGGCGGGGGGTGGCGGGAATAGGACTCCATGAGCCAGATGCTGAGGAGGATGTTCTAGGTGTCACCGTGAAACGACATGGGAATGGTGCCGTTGGCCTGGAGGAGGTTGGCAGAACGACCATCGTTCTGGGTGAACATATCACTGTTTTGGGGTTGAGGGAAGGGTAGGCGGTGGTGAGAGAGACGAGGTGATTGTGGATGTGCTATTTGGTATCTTAGGCATAAGGGAGGGAAGAGGGGCCACGCTGCGAGAGGACTGAGCTCAGGAACTGCTGAATCAGTTGTGGGTTCGCTGGGGTTTGACCAGCCGGCGAAACCATCGCTATTTGGGTGGGGAAAATTGAGATTTCAGATTGTGAGAGAGAGAGAATTTTGATTGTTGAAGTGAAATTAGGGGATTGGTTTGTTCGTTATGTTTGCTTTGGGGAGAAGGGCTTGTGAAATTAGGGGTCTGACCTTTTTTATTTTATTTTTTAAATACAAATCGCATTATACTTCTATTTAATCTAAATTATCATAGGGAATTCAAACTTTAATGCAAACTGATATTATACTTTAATTTAATCTAAATTATCGAATGTGATTCGAACTCCTATTCAGAGTGGAGATCATATCCACTTTAATCAACTTGGCTAAACTCATATATATGATT